TTTTTTTTTTTTTTACTTTTACTTTTCTAAAGGAAAAATCTGCTTGTCTCATTTTTAGAGTGTCATTTTGCCCTCCCATTTACAAGAACATGATGATTCCTGCTGAAAAGAAATACACACTCTATAAAGAGACATGACGACCAGCCAGGCCTGTGCAAAAGGACCCTGAGGCTCCCTGTCGCAAGGACTTAAAGGGTTGACTCTCAGGTGCTGTCTTAGTCACCCTAAGTCTCTAAGACACTGAGACAAAATACTCAACGCCTACAACTTCTAAGCCGACAGGTTTGCTTTGGCTCCCACTCATAGTCTTGGTTAGTTGACTCCAAGGCCAAACTGAAATGGTAGAACAGTCTTGTGGAAGCAAACTCCCATCAGAGACCAGGAAGCAATAGAAGGGAGAAGTCAGGAAGAGAGATAACACCCTTCCAGACCCCACCACCAGTGACCCACTTCCTATAGGTCTCCACCTCCTAACAGCAAGTCAGCTGTAGCGTTGCCACAGTCAAATCACCTTCCAAAAGCCTGCCTCGGAACATGCAATGCTTTGGAAGCCATTGTCATCATAATATTCAACCCCTGACCCCCCCCCAAAAAAAGCTCATGTCCATCTCATTATGCAAAATGTATTTAGTCCCTCCATAAAATTTGCCAAAGTTTTAATGGTTTTAGCACTGCTTAAAAGCTCAAGTCCAGAGACTGGGTGTGGTGGCGCCCACCTGTAATCCCAGCTCTTGGGAGGCTGTAAACAGGCGGATCACTATGAGTCTGATCTAATAGTGAAACCCTGAACACCCTGTACACCCTTCCCTAAAAAAAAAAAAAAAAAAAAAAAAAAAAAAAAAAAAAAGTCCAAGTCCAAAGTCTCCTCTGAAAATCCAGACAAACTTTTAGCTGTGAGTCCTTGTAGAAATAAAAAAGCTAAACACTGCCAACATACAATGGCACAGTGCAAACACTCCCATTCTAAAAGGGAGACTAGGGAAATAGAAAAGAATGGAACAAAAGCCAGGCCAAAACCCAGCAGAGGAAATGTTAAATCCCTTAGCATCGTGTCCAGCTCCTAGGACAAAGTGTGGCAAAATATGAGTTTGGATAACCCTATCCTTATGACACGGACAGTTTCAACTCTCATAGCCTCTCTCTCCAGGGTTGGTGCCACTCAGTGCCTGTGGCTTTCCTCAGACCTTCCACATTTCTGGCTTCTCTAACTTCCTGTGCTTTCCATTCTACCTTCAGCTTCATTCACTGCCCTCTCAGGAGCACATTGCCTGGCCCTCCAGACCTTCTTCTAAAGTCTGGGTGGAAGTCTCCAATACCTCCCCCGTGTTACATTTTCTACATAACTGTAAAGCCAGTACTATGTGGAAGAGGTGAAGGTGTGCCACCAGCTCAAGCAGTAGCCAGGTCCCCTTGCATCATAGCTATAGAGGTCTCTGAATGCCTGAATGGCTGAATTCTTTTTTTTTTTTGCTCAGGGTCTCACTACATAGCCCACATTAGTAGTGATCCTCCTGATTTCTGCCTCCCAAGTGCTGGGATTACAGGCGCATGCCACCGCGCCCAGACTTGAATGGCTGAATTCTGATAAACTGTTTCCTAGTTGGATCTGAATGAGTTGGGCTCCCTGGATCTTTCTTCTCAAAGCAAAGTCTCTCACTTTTTCACCTTTGAACCTGGGGGCAGGGAGGGGAGTCCCTGCTGATTCTTGTCACATTCTCAAGACATTTTTCCTATTATCCTGATGTTTAGCTGTTTTATAATACTGCCCTTTTTAGCAAGCATGCTGTCCTTTGCTCCAACTTTTCAGGCATTTTCTCACTACTAGAAAAGTTATTCAAATTATTGAACACTGATATTATTCTGATTTTCACTATAGGTATAGCTAAAAGTAGCCAGCATAACTCATGCCACAGAGTAAACACTGGACTGCCTTGAAACTTTTTCTGCCATATTAGTCTACTATCTTCAGTTTTAATCTCTTGAAAAGTCTCAGGATATGGGAAACACACAGACAAATTCTCTGCCTGAGTATAACACACATGGTCTCAAATTGAACTGCTAATGGAATCCTTGTTTCAACCTGAAACCTTATGAACCTAACCTTTACTATCTGCATTTCTATCTGCATTTCTATTAGCATTCTGGTCTTCTGAGTTCTAACCAGCATAACTCATTAACTTTGGCCTAGAGCATTCTATAGTTTCTCTAGCCAGCATCTCCAAACCTTTCCAGCGTTCTCCTGAATACCAGTTTCTAACTGAGACAGCAAGTTTCAGCAAGTTCTGAAACACATGGTCAGGCATATTCACAACAACAGCCTCATTCCTGGTACCTGAATCTGTCTTAGTCACTTACTCATCACTGGGATAAATTATCTAACTCTTACTTTAATTCATACTTACAGTACCTAATCAGCTGGCTCCAAGATATAAATGGCAGATTAGAAGAGTCCAGATGAGAAAAGCTGCTCATATCATGGTATCCAGGTAACAGAGAAAAGGGAAGAGCTACAGGT